TTGGAATTTATATCAGAGACCTGAGTAGAAGACAGAAGGGAAAGACCAGACCTTTCCAGAGGCTGTGGTTGCTCCTCTGCAAAATTTTTTTGTTTCCTTTGACCAAATGCAAATAACAGAGCAATATTGTAGCAGAGTCATCACTGGGTGTTCTGACCTCATGAGAAGCAACACTGGGAACCCATCTTTAGCCCACTGCCTTGACACACCCTCTTTACTTTCTAGACTCCTTGTGCCCATTTCTGTCCCTCTTCCCGCCGACTACACATATCTTCTGGACAACATTTCATACTTCTTAGAGCAATAAAGATGAAAGCACAGTTCTGCTCAAGCACATACTGCCCATGAAAGGAAAGGACTGTGCTCTTTTTTGGACATGAATAATATTCATCCTTACCTTGGCATTGAAAGAACATTCTCTGGTCCTTGAGTCACTGAGCCTCACTACAGCAAGTGGGGTGGATTGTCGTGCCAAGAAAAGCACTTGTCTTCACATAGAACCCTTGGCTGAGCATCCATGGGCCACGTGGTTTACTTTTTACGTACACATACTGCATACACTTCTGCTTTGCACAATCACAAGCCTGTTTAAAAGGCTACATTCATAAAGGTTTTTTCTTTACCTAAGACAGCAAATCAGAGTTGGAATTGCTGAGCTTTGCTGCCTGGCCTAGTCAAAATGTTTGGGGGCGGGGGGGTGGGCGGCGGGTCTGTCTGTTGGATGTCAGAAAAGAAAGAAAAGCTATCACCGTTGAGGTGCCTGGCCAGGTCACAGAGCTACATCAAGCAAAACTTTTGCAGCTCTGGATCAGCAATTTCACAGCTTAAATAAAAATACCCTCAAGTTCTTCAAAGTGGCATCATGTCAAAAGCCACATAATTCGTCACCAGCAGAGTTCAGGTTTACCACACACAAGACAAATCCAGGTACTGGAATCACCAGCATCGATTGTGAGGCCCTCTTGACACAGCAGTGACTCCTGACCTGGACATCAAGGGTCCTTTGATGGTCCCTTCCAGCTCAGGATATTCTGTGATTCTATGAACAGATCTCGTGTCAAGCAGGACCCTGATCCTGGTCTGTTCATCTCATTCTGTCACAGTTTCCTTATTGACAAAACTCAAGGCCCACACCGCCCATGCTTTCCTTGTCCCTCCTGCACATCCTCTTGTCTGATCTCTTTTGTTATTTTTCAGGCCCCAGTGCCACTTTTCATTCACAGGAATATCTTTCCTGTTTTTCTCAAGTGCTCTTTGCAGATGCTTTCTGCACTTTCTCTCTCACCCCTGACATCTCACTAGCCACTTGCAGATAAGCTCCTGCACACACAAGTGTTTATCAAATACAGCTCCCAGTTCCTTCTCTTCAGCCCACTGAGTAGCTCCTTCTCACAGCCTCCATGCCTGGCTGGTATGAGTTGGCTTCTCCTGAACCAGCTCTTGTATAATAATAATAATAACAACAATAATCTCTACCAAGTACTAGAGAATGCAAAGTTCAAATACAGAGCAAGTTCAGTATTGCACAGGGTTTCAGCCTGTATCTGGAGCTGGAATCCATGAACAGAGTGTGGATGCCCTTACTGAGGGCACAGCAGATGCTGACTTCTCCTTTTCCCAGTTACATGGTTTTATTCACAAATAGGAAAAGCATTTCACTGGAGATGTGTATTCCCAAGTGTGAAAAAAGAGTGCAGCTTGCTTGGCTGTTCCATTAGAGCAGCCCCACAGAATTAAGGTGATAAAATCAATCAAAAGTTAGAATTCGTACTGCTTTGTAGAGTTTTCATTTCCATTTGCATAAGCTATTTCTGGGAATCTTTCACATCCCACAGTCATACACTGCATTTGTTCAGAATCTCTGACTCATTCAGCATTGCTGACGTACCTGACCTAGATATGAATGAAGGCTACAGAGCACAGGGCTCATCTGTAACACAAGACTCTGCCTGGTTTGTTACAGAAGCTGGAAAATGTTGAGAGGTAAACATGAGGTTTTATGAAGGAAGATTAGGAACAGATTTTTCTCTGAGTTCATTTATGACATAAAAACAGCATTCATTAATTGTATCTTCCTCCTTTTCTGCTTCCTCACTGTGGCATTTGCAATGTGCTTTGAAAAGCTTTACGTAGTTCTATAGTTGAAAATTTTAGCATCTGTACTTAAATGTGATAATTACTTTTAAATCCCCTTATCCTAGATGTCTTACATTGAAGATATCCAGTTAGGGAAACTTTACCCTAAACTTCAGTGTGTCACTTTGCTTTTTTTCCCCCATAAGCATTTCAGAAAGTAAAGTAATTTCTGTTGAAAGAGCAAATCAATAAAAGTCCCATAAGCACCCAAAACAAAATGAGGCAAAGCTCTGTAGAGGGAAGATACAATAACTGGCTAAATGAGGCAGTTGTCCGGTGAGAGAAAGCGGTAAATTATGTGACTGTGACCTAAGGATCTGCAACAAAAAACACCAACAGAGAATAAAAACAGACATATGCCAACAGCCTTGATTTAGACACTTAATGGCCTTCCAGTGTTTGAATTATCAACCTGATTTTTACTATAATACCAATATTTTAAGACAAAAATCCTTTAGCATTTTACGAAGTAGAGTGCATAAAGTATTCTAACAAGAGAGCAGAACTCAGGTATAAGAAGCTAAATATTGCAAGAAACAGTGTAAAATAAATATCTTCAACTTTGTGTGCACTTGCTGTAGAATGGAAAAAGCCCAAAATATCTATCTGGGTTTTTTAATAACTATACAATACATATACACTCTACTGCATTTGAGTTTCCTCTATTTGCTTGCAAACAATTCCCTGGGCAGTTCCAATGCCTGACAACCCTTTCTGTGAATATCCAGTAATATTGGACCTAAACTTTCCCTGGTGCAACTTGAGGCCTTTTACCTCCTGTCACTTGTTACTTGGTGTCGGAACTCAAAATGTCCCTCAGACATTTGCAGAGGTTCCAGGCCCTGGTCAGAAGCATTTTAGACCCTGGCAAGCAGCTGAAAACAGCTGTGATTTTGAGTTTGAGCCATGGAATGAGTTACCAACTTTGAAGGTGGAACAAGCGGTCACAGAGGGTTAGATGGTAGAGTAAAAGTAGTTACAAATTAGAGGGAAATTTTTTTTAGTATTGTACAGGGGGGTTTTAACACCTGTACAGGGGGGGTTTACTTTGTACATGGGGGTCAGGAGTTCTAAGATGGAGGAAAGTGGGCCTGATCCTGTTCTTCCTCCTTCTTCTTCCTTACCTCCATGTTCTTGGTGATGTTGGCACTCACAGATTGGTTTAGAGTAGAAAAGCACATTGTAACATAGATAGTAGGTATTGGGGAAAATCTGTAAACATATAATACGTAATATATCATATAAAAGATAGCAGCAGCCCTGGGCGGGGAGAGAGACGACGGAGACACCGGACAGTGAGGGTGTCAGGAGAGTGTGTGTCTCTGCCTGGGCAGCTGACCAAGGCAGCGCAGCGGGCGAAGACAATCTTTTAGATAACTAGCAATAAACTGCCTTGAGACCGAACAACAAGAGGCTGCGGAGTTTTTCCTTGGAAGCAAAGGTTGGAGGAGAAACTTTACCACCACACGAGACCCCTGAATCAATCCCGGGGTTCTCACAACTTGGGAGAAGAGGCCAACTCCCCTCTGATACACCCTCCTTTCAGGTGGCTGTAGAGAGCAATCAAGTGCCCCCAAGCTCCTTATCTCCAGGCTGAGCACCCCCAGCTCCCTCTGCTGCTCCTCATCAGACTTGTGCTCCAGAGCCTTCCCCAGCTCCACTGCTCTTATCTGGGCCCCTCAGTCTCCCTGTAGTGAGGGACCCGGAACTGGACACGGCTCTTGAGGTGTGTCCTCACCGTGCCAAGTACAGGGGGACAGCCAGTGAGTGCCCTGGTCCTGCTGCCACACTATTGCTGATACAGGAGCCAGGAGGCCAGCAGCCTTCTTTCCCATGTGGGCACACGCCGGCTCATGTTCGGCTGCTTGTTGGCCAGCGCCCCCAGGGCCTTTCCTGCTCAGCAACTCTCCTGGCACTCTGTCTCCAGCCTGGGGAACTGCAGGACCTTGCTGGGACACAAGGGCAGGACACAGCACTTGGCCTTCTTGAACCTCATACAACTGGTCTGGGTCTGTCTATCCAGCCTGTCTAGATCCCTCTGCAGAACCTTCCTACCCTCAGCAGCCCTCATTCCCTCTCAGTTTGGTGTCCTTAATGTCCTTTGGTGTACTTTAATGAAGGTACATTTAATCTCCTCATCCAGGTCATCAATAAAGATCTTAATCAGAGCTGGACTGAGTACTGAGCGGAAACACCACTAGTGACTGGCCACCAACGGGATGTGTCACCATTCAACACCTCTCTGAGCTCAGCCATTCAGTTTTTTAGCCAGCATAGAGTGCGCCTGCCCAAGCTATGGGAAGCCAGTTTCTCCAGGAGAATGCTGTGGGAAGAGGTGGCAAAGGCTTTGCTGAAGTGCAGGTAGACAACATCTACAGCCTTTCCCCCACCCACTACATCATCACCTGGTCATAGAAGGTCAGGTTGGTCAAGCAGGACCTGCTTTTCAGGACCCCACGCTGGCCGGGACTGATCCCCTGATTGTTCTTTACGTGGTGACACACACAATGATTTGCACCATGATTTCCCCTGGCACCACGGTCAGGCTGTAATTCCCCACATCTTCCTGCCAGCCCTTCACGTGTTGCATTTGCAACTTCATCACCTGGGACCTCCCCAGTTAGCCAGGGCTGCAGATGAATGATGGAGAGTGGCAGGGCGAGCTCTTCCTCCATTCTGTCACTGCCCTGGGGTGCATCTCATCCGGCCCCATGGACGTGTACCATTATTTTTAAAAGAAAAGGGACCATTGTTTAGTGAGAGCAAAGATTAAACTTTGTAAAGTAATTAAGCAGTTCTTCCTGGGTTTTGTAAACTGTTTTTCCACTAAGGGAAAATTTGAACTATATTTACAGCTGTAGAGGTAATCAACAGTATCCATTTAATATAGATTCTGAGGGAGGACACAGAAGAGAGCATTCTCAAAAGCTACACAGGTTTAACACTTTTTTTAAAGTTGATTAGCACATATATTTTTATCAGATATTTATTTTTGCATTGATTTCAAACAGAAAAAAATTTGAGCTTATGCTCTACACTTTTGGAAGTTTTACTTGAAAATGCAAAGATGAATGCTCAGAAGTTACAGGGAGTTGTTTGGCAACCAGCTTTATGCTTAAGGAAGAAAAGTTACCATTGCCTTCCTGTAAATGCTACATTATTTTTTTCCACATTATCTGTCTGCAGTAACTGTATCTGCTTGTTATTTTTATCTGCCATGTTTAATGTTGAGTTCTTGTTTAGGACTGCATAATTGCTGTTTTCTTGTTACAGAACATTAACTTTATGCTGCCAGTAACAACTTTATAATGAAAATGCTAATAAAAATGGGGCGGTGCAAACTACACAGTTACAAATCTCTCCAGAGCTTAGTATGAGGTTTATCATAATTCTTGACATCTCAGGATTGTATAATCTACTGATACTGATTACACTGCACAGTTAATTTAAAAATTATCTCCTGCAGGCCTGAGAGAAAGGCAACTATTATAAATAACTTCAGAAAAATATATACATACTGAAAATACTTCTAATAAACATTCTGGTTTTCTCAGTGTAGCAATATAGTCATTGCAGGAATCAGAAATACCCTGTATTAATCACATTTCTGCTTGCAGGTTTATACTGTTTAATCCTATTACAACTGTACAGCTTGTTTTTCCTCTGGTAGATGGTGTCAGACTAGCTGGAGACAGCAGCACAGGCTGGAACACTGTGCAGGTTTAAATGGCAGTTTTCCTTGTTCTTTTAAATACTTTTGGATTGGGGGTTGTTTTCTTACACAGGGACCTATAAGACAAGAAATTATATTAGAAAAATGAAAGTTAAGAAATACTATTATGTGCCGTTTCTTCAGTCTAGTACAAAATGTGCAGCTGGACTCAGATAGAAATGCATGTGAAAAAGCAAACTTTGCCTTAAGCTTTTCAAAATGTAGCACTGCCAAACCAGAAAATTATTTATATTTATGATTATGTATAAAAAGTGCAGCACAATATCCAAACAGCACCCTGATTTCATTCTCATCACCTTTACTGTAATTCAGGGCAAGAGGAAATATATATACACACCAAATAAAAAAGGTAAATTCATAGTACACATAGAATATTCTCCACACCACTACATGGTACTGAAAAAAGCACAAAGAGAGGTGTATAGGATAGACATCTTTGTTATCATATTTCTGCTGGGAAAGTTGCCACTGCTCTCATGGAACAGGGTGCTATTTATAGGATAGTGGAACAGAGAGGAAAAACAGCACCAATCATGCTGATTTTGATTTATTAACTCTACAGGAGGAATTTGACAACCATGATATTCCCAAACGATACAAATCTGACAGTTCCTCCATGATTTGTGTGATGGTAATTTGGTTAGACATTGCATCATATGTTTGACTGCAGCAGATGGCTGCACAGTTCTCAATCCTCATCAATTTTCTGAAAGATTATCATGTCATTAAATACTTACCTTAAGCTCCCTCCCAGGAAAATGAGAACCACCACCACTACCTACTGACATCATTTACCTGGACTTATGGAAATGGAAAAGCAGTGGAGACTGTCTCACACAATATCCTTGGACATGGATTGGATGGATGGATGGATTGGATAAAAACAGGAGGCTTGGAACTAGATGACCTTTAAGATCCCTTCCAACCCTTCTGTGATGCCACGATCTGTCTGCCTATAGCTTCTGGAGGGCCTTAGAAGCATCCAGAATTCCCCAGTGACTGTAGGAGGAGGTGGATGGGAACACTGTGACCATATAAACAAGACTCTAAAGGAGAACATTCCTACTTATGGAAAAAAACCTAAGGTATCTGTGCCATATTGATACTACTGATTTGCTCATTGGTCTTTGCATCTTCCACAATTATCACAGTCAGTACTTCCCCCTTTGACATAATAATTAGTGCTGATAGAATGAAAATCCATTAACAAGGAAAAGCTGTAAATACATCCTTTATCAGAGTAATATTGCTTGACTGACAAAATGTCCAGTCACCACCTATTCATTCTTTGCTCCTTACAAGGAGGAAAACACATACACTGCACAGTGTTTGTGGGCATTTTAACCAAGCCCCCTTCCCCTCTCTCTTACAGAGGAATTTTGAAAGTAGTATAGAGATTACACCACAAAATGTTTTAAGGAGCATTTATGGTTTTACAGTTTTCCTAAAAATCACTAATACTGCTCATCTCTTGAATACTCCAGCTACTGAAATGTGGTAACAGTACTGAATGGTATAGTCTACAGGCAGTTTGTGTAAGAGAAGGTGACTGCACTTCTCTAAATACCATTTACCAGACAGAGGCTCCAGTTATATTCCTTAATTGGAATAAGCTGTTTGAATTTCTTATTTTATTACTCCTCCAGTATAAGCTCTCATCTTCAGGTTTCATTGGGCAGTATCTCAAACCCAATTAACTCTGTATTGTCTGGCATTGTTCTCTTGGCCATGCTACAAGGTTTATTCCCATTCAAGAGCGATTTATTATTCTTTTCCCTTCCTCCTTGATAAAACCATGTTGAGGGTGCTTAATTTGTAACTCTGCTGCTCTAATGAGATAATTGTTCAAATTGGAGGGTAAAAGCAAATAAATTTTGTAGCTTGCGCACCTGAATACTCTATTTTTGGAGCTTTCTTCAGTCATTTTCTCTGTTAACAATGAGTGGAAGTTTAAGCATTAAAGGTTTAGCTAGACTTCCTTCTGCTTCACTTCTCTTTCTCTGGAAGAACAGCACAGTTGCATAACGCGTGAAGTTCAGTCCCTAAAAACCATCTGCTCAGTCTCCTTTCATTAGTACACCATGACAAGGGTTTGGGTTTGGTTATTTTTGTAACACAGACACCACTACTTAAACATCCAATAAAACTATATGGGTTCTGCTTTTATGTTCCTGCAAGGAAACTCTGCTGAGAAATTACTCATCCCTGTTATAGCTCAGCCATCAATTTTGCAAAACTCATTTATGATTAAACCCATGCATGTATTGTGGACACTTCATGTGTTTTATGACAGTTTACATTTGCTCATATTTATTATCTTCTGATATATTCTGAACCATAACTGAAGCCTGATTATAATCTCGTTCATATTAATGACAGCCAGAAAATAAACCACCTTAAAAACCAGTAAAGTCACTCGGATGTTATGGAATTTTATGGAGTCAGAATCTGGCTTTCAGTCACAACAATTTTAGATAGATTACATGGTCCCGCATCAGCAGCACTACTCTGCCATAAAAACAACTACCAAATGTAATTAACAGATGTGAGTTGTCATTGAGATCAAGCCTTTGGAAGTTGTTACTTCAGTGTGACCTTACCTATTTTTCTAGCAGAAATGCTGCACCTCAAACAAAAATTCAGGGAAGTTTGGTATTCTAGGATTTCCTAATATTCCATCTGGACACACTGGAGGACATCCAGCCAAGGACCAGCAGAACCTTGACATCCCTTGTGGTTCCCATGCATGCAGGCCATGAATGCAAGAGCTCCAGAACCAGTTGCCAGTGAATGGTCAGAGCCTGGCACATTGCAATCCTCCACATGGTCACTGTCACACAGCAGCACACAGAGATGTTTAATTAAAATGGCATCTACATCAAAAAGGATGTTTTTGATGGAAGGAAATGCAGCCTTCATTCTGCATCCCACAATATTAACTACTGCCTTATCAGCTGAAGCATTAATATGCAAACATTCTCATTAGCATTGCCCTGTGAAAAAATTCTCTAGATCTTGATTGTTCTTACACTACTATATATATATAGTGTATATATATATATACACACACATGCATATATATACATATATACACACATATATGTATATATATACACACACAGTTTTTATGACACAATACCTTAAATCTACACATCAAACAGTCTAAATAAATAGAAAAAAGCAGTTTTAAGATGAGCATTTATATAGAAAATATTTCTGATTGTTCAACATGCATATTGGTTTTTCTAGTGTTAAAAAGAAGAAAAACTATATCAAAGCCTTTACTCTTACCATGAAAGATCATCCAATATTATTTAAATATTTATTTTCTCTACTAAGCATGTGAAGTGGCTAAATTTTCCATTTCCTGAATTCATTCACTGATTCCAAGTAAGAGAAAACTTCATATAGCAACAAGTCAAAAAAGTTCAGAAAGGAGAAATCTGGGAATTTTGTGTTTCAAAAACCTACAAAACACCTATTTAGTTGGCCAACAAGCATCATAGCATAAAAAACATAGATAGAAGAGATTCCTCACAACTTCTTAACTTAGTTTTCACTATGTTTTCTAATGTGAGGATGCCTGAGCTGAACACAGATATAAATACATTTATTAATGAGAGATGTAACATCACTGTTGAAATTCCTGCAGAACAGAAAGAACCAACATACACACTAGTGCCTCTGATCTGAGAACTCTATGAAAATTATCTTCCCTCTCCTTTGCCCCTCAAATATTCCATCTTTTGAGAAGACAGAGTTTGCTTCTTGCTTCCTGCCTCTATCCTATAACACCAGCTTTTTTCTAAGACCAATTTAAGCAGGAAGGGGCTGGGGGTATTTCTTTGTTTCATAGCAGAAGCCAGATTTCATTAACACATCTCTGAATGTACCAAGTTTGTGTCTCCAGCTGACAGAGACAGACCAATGTCAACCCCTCGGTGTTGGATCATCCAAGCAGTGCCTCTGCCTGGAGAAGCAGAGCAGCTGTGACAGTGGAAATCCTGGGTGTGTTACGTCTCCATTACAGGCAGGAAGCAGCCCACAGTAGCTATGGCAGGCAGTTCATAGGATGAACAAGACTTCATGTGGAACATCACACACAGTTAAAAAGCTCCTGTGGACTACCAGCACTGCACTGTGATCCAGGTTACAGATTTACTATCTTATAAATGCCTTAGAATGTATGAAACATCTCCAGAATAAGAAATGGTTAATAGATCTCATTTTCCACTAGATGGTAGTTAGTCAATTCAACTAATTTAATAATATGTGGGGAAATGTGTTTATTGAAAAAATACATTAAGCTATGCACTCAATGTATATGCTTTCAGCATGTTTTCCATAGCCTTAAGTAAACAGAGCTCAGTTCACAAAGCATCTTTTATCCCTGCCGCTTCCCTTTTTCCTGTCAGACAAAGATAAGGCTTCTGTGAAGCTTGGAAAAATAATTTTTCACTTTATTAAAATAGCAGATTTTTCAGATAAACCATATTGTTTACAGGAAATGATTTCCCTGCTGAGACAGTGATGTTATCAGACAGCAAACAATTCTGATTGACATAAACTGCATTTCCTTCATTCTGCTTCCAAGGCCCCTGTACTGTTCCATGGATCAGGCTTTCCTTGGCTCCAGAAGTGGACAAGTGGGATCTTCTGCTCCTTAACAGAAATAGAAAACCCAATGCCAGAGAAGACCCTCATGTTTTAAGTTCAAGTCTTAAGCAGTTTCAACTTTGTCTGTACTCTCCCCAGACACAAAGCCTCTATAAAACATGAATTAAGCTGGTCAGAACTGGCATAGCTGGTTAAAAGGAAGTGAGCTGAATTTTGGAAGAGTCTTAGTAAACACAACAGACAAGTAAAGCAAATATCAATAAACATATATTGAAATACTTGTATTTTTAGCAGAAGACAAATACAGGAAGAATAAAACATATGAATAAATGTATTTTCCAAATTGCTGTGAAAAAATCCACATTGGCTTTGCCTCTGTGTTTTTCAAGAGAAATTTAATTTTTAAGTGACTTACCATTGATATCATATCTATAAAAAACTTCCAGACAATCTTATAAATCATTCACACTCTATCTTTGTCCAAGATATTTATCCCATTTTGGTTTAGGCCATCACTGGCACCATGGAATTATCAGAGTTTACCTAAAAAGCATCAACAGAATGGAAGAAAAAAGTGAACTACACTATTTAAAACAGTTTCAAATTCTGCAGGGTTATTTTATGCTTGGAATCCTTGGACACATGTTCTAGAAGTTTAGTTTTAGTTTAGCACAAACCAGAATTGCCAAACATTACCTCAACAAGGAGGAACAGTACCAAAATCAGTGTCTGATTCTCAAATGAAGATTTTCACAAAACGGAAAACAAGTCAGAACTCACAACACTCACAAGTGCAGTCAAGCCCATGGAAGGATGCTCACAGGCACAGTACTCATTCCCCTATCAAATCCTCACTGAAAAAAAACCAAAAACAAAAACCCCATTCTTCCCCCTGCCAAATACTTGTCGTGACACTCTTCAGTGAGTGTGTTTCCTCCCTTAGGAGAAGCCAAACTATTTGAAATCATTTGATACAGTATCATTAAAACCTACTCTACTGCCTTTGTAACCAAGGAGTAGCTAAATAAAATCCAGAAACCCTGAACCACAACTCTTAATTCCTGAAAAACCTAACTATGCAAATATTTACATTAATTATTGCTTCAACAGGCTCATTGGTTTACTACTCATTTGCATTTTACTCCTAGTGAGTTTTCAAGCTCTACATCAAAAGCAGTCAGAACTGTTCTTTAATAAAACAACAGGAAGTGTCTAGTTGGATACTTGAGTTTCTGCAATATGAATTCTACATTTCAAATGCATTTAAAAAAAAACCAAACCTGCTGAAATACCAAATATGCCTCCACATTTCATCTGCTTGGTCCGTGCTACCAAGGAAATTAGCTCCACATAGAGGCACTGGCTGGAAAGATGAATCTCAGACATTTTGGCTGGCAGTAACTGTTGATTTGAGGATTCCTTCTTGCCACCAAACTTTTTTTTCTGTCACTGTACTATTGCGTGGGTCCATGAGCTTGTGCTGCACACAGTACACCAAGCGAGGACATGGATCCAGTCTGAGGAAGGACAGCGACAGCATTTCACTGCTCCCCATGACACCAGAGAGCTGTGCTGGGAACAGAGTGTGCTCCTTCCTCTGAGCAAGGGCAGAAATCACAGTGGGATGGCTCGAGTGAGCATCAGCATTCACCACCACATAACAAGTGACAGCAAAGCTGCAAGATGTCACAGCCTCACAGGGATATCCTTCCGTCTTGGCACTTTGCTCCTGCTTCAGCACAGCTGTCAAAACCAGCATTCCCAGAGCAGGGCCACCCACAGCAGGATGGGTGAAGCAAAGACACCAGAACTTGAGGAAAGTTCTCTCAGGCAGAGTCAGGGACACCACAAGGCACCTGATTCTGGGAAATGGAATAGAATAGACAGACATGCAGATTCTTTCTGGAGATAAGTTTCCATGTTTTTAATTACATCATCTCTCCTGAGGAGGAGAGCTTGCCTCCCTCATTCTTCCCTCATTCATCCCAGCTGGAGATATTTGTTTTGTACCAGTTAAACAGATGCACTGAATAAAAATCTAGAACAGTTTTGTACATGCAGAAGTGCACACACAGCAAACACATGGTTGCACTGCAGTGTTCACGCAGACACGGGTGATCTTCAGATACAGGATTTGATGTTAACTCTTCCATGCACTATCCTCCAGTGCCATATATTACATAACACCTGTCCACAAGGATTTCTATGATATATTAAAAAGACTTCTTCAGTTTGTAAGCAAAAATAGAAGCACAACAAAAAGTTCAGTTATAGCAAAATGGGGCTCATGTGTGTGAATTTGAATGAGGACAAATCCTCTTACTGATTTTTATAATGTATTTGGCTTCATAAATAAAAAATATTAGAATTTAGAGTCTGAGCCTTTCAAATATTAACAAGGATACCAGATTGTAAAAGCGATTCGCAAGAAGCCTGTTTATCCTTTATGAAGATGAGGAATTCCATGTACCCCATTCTTCTATTTGAATAAAAATATTTAAGTTCTTCCTTTAAATTTTTTGGTACCTAAGAAAGCCCAAATGCTGAAGCCATACTTCATTTAACAACACACCCATAGCAGAATCATCAGTGATTCTAAGACATGATAGAAGAGCTACTAGGAAAACAAGAGATGCTTGACTTCTTTTTTATCCTATGCAGATTTCCCCTATCAAAGATATTTATCAGTTTTTTAAGATAAAAGGGCAACAGAAATTGTGTAAAGCTTAGTTATTTTACTACTTTAATGATCTCTTGGTTTGGGAATTGATTTTACAGTACCCTGTAAATCTATTCCTCCTTTGACAATGATCAAGTAGATAATAAGCAATAAATCACTGCTGCAACTGAGAACTGAACATTCAAGATAAGGTTTTAGATTACTTCTGCCATCTGAGTATGAGACGGTGCTTTTCAAGCAAAGATATATTGTCACAGTTTATTTGCAATTAGAAAGATATGGATCCCATCAGTTAAAGCCTGTTTCCCAACAAACATGTAGGCCTTTATACAGCCAGAATCATAATTTCAGCAAAAAGAGATTTCTAGAAATACATACTGCTTCCATAGAAATTAGTGCTTACAATACTAAATAGTACTGAAAAATAGGATTCCCTCCTTGCCAATGTCACTTGGTCATTGAGGAAAGCTGCCTTTCCAAGTCAGTTGAAGTAAACACCCAACCCCCAGCCCCACCACTTATAATAGCTGAGTGTAGGATGTTTACAGGAACTAAAAATTAGCTGAACTATATAAATACAGGAGTGCCTTTCAGGATATCAAAAAATAAATCTGCACAGACATACTCTGGTGTACTTGCACCACTCATACAGTACATGCAACTCTTATTAACCTTCACTGACATTATTAAGTCAATCCATGCATTTTAACGTTTAATCTTCTGAATATCAGAATACAGTAATGTCCATGTACAGTCCCTGATGTTGTAGAGATTCAAAAGCAAAAATGTTTTCTCTCACAGCCCCTGTAGAAGAGCATGCTATTGCACTTCCATGCCAAGGCCCTTGATGTTCAGTACAGGCACCTTCCAGAAATCCCAATTTTGAAAACTGAAACTCAACTCTGATATATGTATGGGAGATAAATGGGGTGGTACAAACTGGGAGTCCTCAAAAATGTCCATCTCAAATTCTATGCAAAAACAACCCTTTGTTTATATTTCCACAGTTTCCTCAGTGTGCTAAATTTTACAGCATTTGTGGCAATATTTGTACATCTTATTCTTATGTTCTTAAAAGCATTCCCATTTCTCCTCTATAACTTTTTGAAGGCACTTCTACCATTTCAATTATTTTCACCTCCAGTTTCAGCTACTCAAAAATACAAGTCATTTTTAATAGCAGACAAGCAAAACACTCCTCAGCATCTTAACTTGTATTTTGTAGGTGTGTTTAATTTGATGTCCAGTCTTGAACAAACAAGACCTTAGCAGTGCAGGAAGATAAAATTTTGATGAACTCGGTCAGTCAAGAGGCCGAGCCTCAGCCTTCTCCAAGTTCTTCTCTGAACAGGTGTTTGCAGCTTTACTGGGTAAAAGGAATCACAGATGCAGATTATTTCATGCATAGAGGAGGGGGGAAGCCCTCCAAATATTTTAACAGTTGTTCTTTGTATGAAGGAAAAAGATGAGCTCAAGCAATTCTGCTGAAGGCAGCTGAGAGTTCCAAGCAAGGAAAGACAGCACACGAGCCAGTGCAAAGTCACCAAGGACTTCGGGGTATTGCTCACAAGTGGTCACAAAATCTGCTCAGAAGAATACCACAGGCAAGCCAAACACTGGACTCCACAGACCTACTCAGCAAGGGTCAACCTTGGTATTGATCACAAGGTTTTATTACCAAAGGCACCTGCACATAGAGCTAATGCCAGCCACCAAAAGCAGTGCTGTGTGGCCACTGTGTCACACTGGATCTGCAGCCTGATTTTCATTCAGGCATTTCCCTCTGCTGCAAAACACCAGGAACTGATCCATGTCACACATCACTGGCTTCACACGAACAAGATGAGGTCATTTGCTTGCTGAGCATCAGTGTCAAATCTGCCTCTTCTGTTCCCACACTTCCCTTGCTGTGTTTGTGAGCCTGTCTTGCCTCATTCTGCAAGAGCTGCTTCAACTCCTCATCCCTACCAGAACTACACAGCTGCCAGGCCAAATCCCCATCATCCCTCCCCAGATATCCAGTACTGCAAAGTTCACCTGGGATCATGGCATAAATATGCATTTGGGCAACACTACAAGACCCACCTTCTTCAGCTGCAAACAACAGCCACCTTTAAGACGTGTTAAAATGTTAGGACTTGGTATTTCACGACCAGAGAAAGCAGATACTTTAATTTCATTCAAACACTTGGCAACAAAAAATAAAACTCAAACAAAAATACAGTGTGGATTAAACAATTTATTTATTTATTGCAGTTACAAACCACTTCAAATTATTTTCATGTGCTGACATGTGACAGCTGTGTTTGAGTACATGGATTAGACACCAGTACTATATGAAGGTATGCAAAAGTTCAAGTTCACAAGACTGGGCTGACAAATTGCACGTGAACAAGGCTTATTAAAAAAAAAAAAAAAGTAGCTCTTATGTGGCATGTGGAATGGCTAAGACAGCACTAACCAAAATGAACACCATATAAATTATAATACATTTACTTTGAACTAGTTTGTTAACAAAAAACATTTCCTTTCTTCTAAGTCCAAATACTGTCTAGAACTAGGAAATGCTAAATGTTTACAGCAAAGAAAGCTTGGAAAACAACTACCAGCATTTTTTTTAAGGCTTCAAGCTCTGTAGCTTCTGCATCAAAGTCCTTTTTATAAATATACAGCCAGGATTTATCAAACCAAATAAGACCGTTGTTTTTAAAACTATTTTAACTGAGGTTGTATTAGGTGTGCAAGTTGCTTAAAAAATCTTCAAAGAGGTGCAAGCAATGAATTAGATCAATAAATAAGTTCACAACCTTCTATCACCACACATATTCCTATGTCACCAGACAGGACACAGGGTAAGGAACAAAGTGGTTACAGCAATGGGACCATCACAGAATAATGGCTGTACTTAGTTCACCATTGGTAATCCACTGACAACTTCAAAATCACTATCTTTCCAATGTTTATTAGTCCACCTTTCCCAGGACTAAGAAATCCTCCTAGTTTCAATTCTGATAAGTTAAGGAGAAAATATTTTCCTTTTTAAAAATATCTGTATTTTTGGTCATATTAATCTTTTACAGAACCACTATAGTGAAGCTAAACAACTAAATACCTAGGTTTGTTATACTGACATTTAAATTCAACAAAGTATTTCATTTAAGTGTTAGGGAATAAAAAAATAGTATTTGCTGGGGGGAGAACTGAGAGCTAGATTATTGCAAGAATATTTTTTCTACCAACAGCAGTTACTCTCATTGGCCATCCCTTTAAAAACAGAAAACTAGAGTGAAACAAAGAAGGAAAGAAATCCCAGTCAAGATCCAGGCGACAACATGTGCAGATCCCACTGGAGAGAAGTGGAAAGCTGAAGCTTTTCTGCAGATACTGTTCCTGATGACATGACTGTTTTAAGTTGTTCAGGAACTGAACCAGTTCTTCTTCTGAAGAATACTTTCATATTCCTTCTGAAGGAATACTTTCGAAGGCTGTTATTTCCACAAAAAGCAAACCATGGTGGGGGCAGCACAAACCACACCACAGACCAGGCCATACACTGTGGATTGGGATAACAGCAAAAACAGACTGGGTGATATGTTTTTAACCTTTATTTTGTTCTTGGGTTGTGCCCAGCTAACAATTAGGAGCACAACCTTCTCACAAGGAGACTCTGAATACAGAATTCCAGAGAAAACAACAAAAAGCAAGGCACAGCAGATATGAGGCCTGGTAAGTATTGGATAGCATTGATAATAATTTTTCCTCATAGCCCTAAGTAAGAGAAGCTGCTAAAACAGACCATTGATAAAGCAATGAAGAGTTCATGGGTAACTGCAGAAGTTCACCACCACTTGTCATTCCCAGGAAGCCTAATCCTGTAGTTTGTAACACAAAGCAGCCAAGAGCTCAGCTTTGAGCAACGTGCAGCAGCTTTGATCTCCATCTCAGATCAGATTTCAGGAGATCACACCCACCAGCCCAGGTAATTCACAGGGAGGCAATTCATCTCTGTCTGTAGAAACACTGCTTGACAAATATAAATGCAGGTTTGTATTCATGACAGCTTCTCCTTCTGCTGTTGTCCAGGCATAGCCAGGTGCAGCAAACATCTGACTGAAAGCTGGAGCAGGTACAGCTTCCAGTCGGGGATGTTTACAGCAACAGACTACGATACATCACTGCAAGGGCCTTGGTGCAGAGCAGCTGGTCACCTCTAGGAGAGGGAAATAAAAAAAGAAAGGATTTAAGACTAGCTTCTGTAGCATTCCCACCAATTACTGTGCAGCTAATATTGAAGAAAACATGGTTTTATATTCAGTAGCAAAAATAGTTTTAGATTCACACCAACTTACGTTAACATTTCTAAATGTAGCAACTAGATGAAAAATCCTCAATTTCAATATACATTTTGAGACGTCTCCAGGTTCAAATATATTCATTCTTATTTATATATTACTTTTTATTTATTTATAAATATATATTTAATTTATACATTTAAAATAGACATAAAATAATTCTTATTTTAAAGATACATTGACTTTACTTCCCTATACGCTCATTCCAGGAGCTCTCCAAAACAGACTTCCACTTTGAACTTTCCCATGAATTTTGAAAATTACTATTCTTTCATGAATATTTATGGTTTTAAATACAGCTCTATGCAAAATTAAAGACAGAAGCAAAAACAAGCCATGTTCTTAATGAAGAAATACCAGAAACAAGACAGAATTCTGAAAATATTCACTCTCAAGGTCAGAATTCTGCCTGATCAGTTTAAAGCTCTATTACAACCAACTGATTAAAATAAACCCAAACCAAACCTACTCTCTTTGGGTAAGCATCAAAGGAGAGGGATGGGGTGAGAGGGAAAGCAACCTCAGGATGGAACCATTTCAGTCCCCATCTTCACATTCCTATCAAAACTCCCACAACACTTGCATTCAATTCTGCAACAATTTTTTCTCTAAGTTAAAAGAACCTTTATAATACTAAAATTTAGTATTTACATTGTAAAATACTCATAGAGGAAACAGCGTGTATTACACCAAACTATTTTACTAAAAGCATTTCACTCTGTTGTTGCACCTTCTCCTGATACTCTGATTTCACACCGTGGAATTGGGAGCATTCAACCATTCTGGCTCGATCATCTTCACATACTACTTAGAAGCCTTAATTTTGTAAGTTTATAGCAGAGTGCCTTCCTCCCACTAACAGAGCTGCAAGCAGAATGATATATTCCCCATTTAGCAGTCCTTATCGCTTCCAAATGAAAATAATTTTTCAAGTCACAAGTTTTCCAGTGCCAGATTATACATAAACTTCAGCAATTCAAGGTTGCTTGTTCTCCGTTTAGACCTCCACAGCAACTCATACAACCAGAAAGTATGACAAGGAGTTTAAAACTGAAGAAAAATTACTGTATTCAAGATTTCTCAAGTTACAGAAACCAAACCACATCCAGTTTTCAAAGAAAGATTTCCCTCTACAACACCAGAAATTGTTACTAGTAAGTGAATTTTATTATTACAGCAGCATGCCAAGATTAACGAGGAAGTGGCATGCAGTCACTATGGATACCATGCTGACCTTCATTATTTTTGAGAATAAATAACTAAAAAGCCAGTGGTCATTTGCAACAAAGGCCTCTTCAGGCTGTTCCAAAGCTGAAAATTCCTATTTTACATTGGAAAGAAATAGGCTATTTCATGCAGAGGTAGGCACATGGTATTTGACTAATTAGGCTGCTGAGCATTAAGTTGCAATGAGCCATTTCTTTGGCTGCTTTCTTTAGCACTTCTTAAGGAATAATGAAGGTTACTGCAATGTTAGCTGCCCAAAGAGAATAAATTCTCCACAATCTTGTTTTGTTTCACCGTATACATCATCACAAAACTGCCCATCTACATGACAATGACATCGCTTGCTACTTTATTGGATTCACTATCTACTATAAATACCTGCATAACATCTTACAAAGTATTTATATTTGTATAAAAGGAGTTGAAATTTTCATTTCCAAACATGGTGTTGAAAAAGCCAGTGGCATTACAGGTGACAGTACAACTACATGCTTGAAAGACACCAATTTCTAGAAAAGTTCAGTCAAAACTGAAACCATATATTCATTAAGAAGCCTCTTCAGCTATTTTCCCAACCACTTTCTTCTTTTCAAACAAAAAAATAGAGAGCATACTCCAGTTTTCCTTAATGGCACAACCCTCTTGTTTTCATAAAGACTAAAAGCTCTGAAAATAACCAGGATTTTTTCTAATATCACAAGCTGAAGAACATTGGCTGCTGGCTTCTGTTAATGCCTTTAACTGTTTCTCTTGAGAACACTAATAAAATATACCATTCTTTGAAGCGTGCATTCCCCTCCTAACTCTACCCGCAGAGAACACAAGGAATGGTGCAAATCTTCAATTATACATGAAGTCCTTCTTACACCTCAAATCTACCTCTTTGTTATTAACAGCAACATAAGATCACCTGCCTAGGAACTGTTCTTCAGCTGACAATACTCCAGAATAACAACAACAAAAAATTAAAATCCTTATTTAACTACCAGAAAATTTGTGAATGCTGGCTGTTGACTTCCATTGTGAAGTTCTTCCAACTGTATTTAGATTTGTCTGCAGTTCAAGAATCCCTTTAATAGTTAGGATTTAATGTTTAATTCTCAATTCTCTTCTGGTCAATATGCATGACTTTAAAAAAACCCTCATGGGATTTCTCTCATGGAAAATCAGGATTTGGAAGAGACACCATTACAATACTGTTTGTGTTCATTCACCAGTTCCAAACCAAAGCCATGCAGATCACTAAGACTTACTGCAATTTTCCCAAGCCTCCATCATTAATTTACCAGTCCCACTGAACTTCTATTGCACCTTTCATGAACCTTCCAGCAAGACAGGAAGGAGGAGAAAGAAAAGAAGAGTGTGAGGAAGCAAACAGCCAAAAAGCTTCCTCCTTCTCTTCCCCCACATCTTAAGACTTCCTCACTCTACAACCACCATCACCACTGAAACTCATTGTATTTGGGACCTCAGTTGCCATATAAAAATACTGAAATGTGAATGGAGCCCACGGAGTCTGTCTGTGTGTGCATGCTCGTGTGTTTGGAGCCAAGATCTTGTCAGTCCATCTGTCAGTCAAAGCAATTTAGCCTCAGATGCCTGATGCAAGCACAGAGTGATGAGAAAGGACAGAGGCAGACAGATGTTCACTGTTGCCATGAGGTTTTTTTTGAAGTGATGCATATTAACCTGAAGAGAACTGAGAATTAAACATTAAAACCTAACTATTAAAGGGATCTTTGAACTGCACTCAAATTGAAATTCAGTAGGAAGAACTTCACAGTAGAAATCAAGAGCTTCCACTGTGAACTGCAGTGAACTTCTGACACCCACACAGAGTTCACTGTACAACTACAAGTTAACAATACCCATCACGATGAATTACGGTGAATTAGGAAGTGAATGTGAGTAGTTTTAACACTGCATTTCCTGTGTATTTTCAGAAAAACATGTTCAGCTTCTTTTGATCACTAATACTTACATAGTGCAGAACTAATAAATTCAGCACAAGAGGGAGAAAGACCTTTTAAACTGGGACATGAATTCTAACACAGTGAAAGATTGAATCTAACATTACCAAATGTAAAGAAAGAGGAACAAAGTGTCTGTATTTTAAAAATGTCTGGGAAAGCATGAAAGTAGAATGTTACTAGCACACCTCAGATGCAATTTCAGTGAGGGCTGGATGCATACACCATATGTAATTATTTCAGTAAAACAAACAACTAGAAGTCTGTGTGGTAAATTGTTTTTATCTGACAAAAGGAGTTCTAAGGAGAAGAGACTACTGAAAAAGGATAATGGTGTGAGACAAAATAAAGTTCAGATCCTGATTCAAGATTACCCCACATCTTAAGTCTGAACAAATTTCAAAAGTCATAAATTTAGCATGCTCTGCCTAAGAATGATGGCAGCAGTTACATACCCCCTTCTTCCCCACCACAGTCTCATATTCCTCTGACTGACCAACACAGCTCAGCCTAAAGAAACCATAAGTTTATTTATGGAACAGCATCTTGAGTCTCCATGGGGTGGAGTACCATACCCAAGATGTCATTCAGGCCAATTAAGTCTTTATTTCAGGGAAGTTCTGCAGTAACTGGTAATCTCCACAGACACCACAAGAGGTAGGAAGTGCCTAATTCAAGGTCATTTTGCTTTAAAAATGAGCTAAAAAAATTTAAAACTCATCTACCACACTAAAAAGTTATCATAATGAGTTACCCTCATAAAGTCCCAAACAGAAGGTTAACCTGCAATCAAGAACAGAAAACAGAAGAAACAATATTACCACCCTTACTTGCATTTCTCTTCCTAAGTACACAGTCATCCAGCTGTTTATATTGCTGTGCAACATACAGCAACATGCACTGTTATTTTCACTTTCTAGATTTTAAAATTTTCCAGCAGGACAGCCTCATCCCAATGCACAAGAGAAACCTGAACAACCAGAACTACAAAATTACAGGAAAAATATGAATACTGTGAATGTATTAGGATAGATTTCACATAAACAGTCCATCTTTTCCCTCAAGTTTCCATTGAAGTATTCCTTTCTCAGTGTCAGCAAGAAATTTTGATTACACAACCTCAGTAGGTTTGACATTATACTGCTAACCATGCCATAGTTCTAATTTCATAGTTTCAGCTATTTACCTCCTTTGGTCCCTCTTACAGGAAAGGAACTTTTGCCTCATTCCTGGTAAAGATCTACAGGGAAACTAGATTGCTCAATGTGGGACAGATTATTGGAAATATTTAATAATAAACTATTAAAACAAATCACAACTCCCTCTACCTGACATATCTCCATATTATACTGAAGAGTCTTCCAACTGCTAATATGGGCCCATAATGTGTCTTCTTCCAAGGTAAGCAATCTCACTGATCCAAGATGACAAAACTGTCTGTAAATCTGGGCTCTTTCATTTTAAAGGCATATTTAAAGCATAACATTCAGAATATCTTCCAATCTGAAAAAACACAAAGAAGTTCATACCAGTGATCTAATTGCTCTAAGAGAGTGGAAGTCAGGAGCTTAAGGACAAAAAACAACCTTAAACTTGACAAGAAATAGGAATAAAGAATACACCTAACAGATGTGCACTGCAGTGCCCTCTAAAAAATAATCTAA